AAAAATCCGGCCCAAAATAAATAAAATCAATTATGAATATAGCAACAAAGTTCTAAAATGTTGATAACAGCGACGTCTCAAAATATTTAAATTGTAATTGTTAAAAACTACAATTAAAACAATATTTTAAAACACGTAATTATATCTTTTTTATAAAAAAATTGCATTAATTATTTCCTTTAAACAGAGTTAAATTTTCCGAATTGTACAGCGTCCATGCTGACGCGTATTTCTAACGTAACATGAATTCTTTGTCTTAGCAATTCACCCTTGAAGATGAATCTTGGATTAGATTGAAATTACTTAGGAAAATAAAAAATATAGATAATTACAGAGCTTTTCTTACTCGGTTTTGTACCGACACTAAGAAACTAATACGTGAAACTAAGAGGATTAAAATAGATATTATATTTCTACAGTATTCAACGATACACACACACACACACACACACACACACACACACAATATATATATATATATATATATATATATATATATATTCAAGTGTGTGTGTTCGTAAGATGTACAATAGTAACAACAAAAATTGGAGATAATGAGACAAAGTGAAAGCTTTTCACAGACAACGCATTTCGCCTCCGTGTTCCAGGCAAGCGTCTTCAGATCGGAATTTGAGGATGCTTTTTCGGAAAGGATAATAAATAACTTTATCAGATCCAACGACCAGAAGCGTTTGTTTTCTTTTTCTTTCGCACTGAAGCCGTTAGAGTTTGGATATGAAATTAGTCCACTTCAAGTAGATCAGTTTGTTTTTCTTCCTACCCTCATCTCTCTCTCTCTCTCTCTCTCTCTCTCACTCACTCACTCTCACACTTCATTAGTTCGTATAGCACACTGCGCTGCTATTGCTTTTGTGATGATATTGCGCGTGAGCCTAGTCTGAGATTTATCGTGAGATCAGTGCACTGTCTTAGTGAATTCTTTTCTCAGAGTGGGCTAATTTCAAATCCAGCAGACGTTCTGCTTCAATACGAACAAAAATATCTTTTTGGTCGTAACCAAATATAAGGTCGGTTTACCATATCTAAAAATTTAATAAGTCTACAATAAAAAGTGGAAATGTATTATGAATACAAAGCCATGTATTATTTAATTCATTCGGCGTATATGCATTGCAGTGTACGACAGTTAATGGAAATAATTCCTGATGCAATGAACATTATTTACGATCATGTTTAATCTATTTTCCAGACTTAATTTTCCATAATATTAAGTTGATGCCTTTCTGCAATTATTGCAATTTTCGATAAAATAGTGATTTTGGAGGTGTTTATAAAACCTAAAATATCTACTTCGATATCTCAGTCTACAATATTATTTGACATTTTTCGCATTCCTCTTCTTAATATCTTAATTCATTTTATGTTTCTTTCCACCTCAAAAAGGAACATTGTTTTACGACCCATATTATCAAAATGTGACGAAGCCTCGTATTCATTGGAAAATTCCGCAATCAATGTCTATAAGATTTTTTTTTGTTTTACAAACGCAAGCCGGTCTATTGTTTCAGTTAAGAATGGCCAGATGTAATAAGCACACAAAAAATCTAAGGAAATGTCTACTAATTGAAAGAGCCCGAAAAATATTTTCTTTGCATTGACTCTCACACATATATATGTGTAAGTGTGTGTGAGTGTGTGCTAAAAATTTGAAATATTGATAAGTGAAGAGTGCTCAATTTCGGAGATAGAGCGTTTATAGATATACACTGTGAATATGAACATTTCCTGTTAAATGTAATCTTCAGGCGAAGTGTGATTGCATTGAAGCGGGAAAATTACAGCCACCATGCAGTATTGATTTCTATGCCCACACTGTGTGTGTGTGTGTGTGCGTGCGTGTGTGTAATCACCTTAATGTTAACCAAACTGTATCTCTGAATAATTACAGTATAGATTATAATATCATTTTAATCATTTATTGCTGCTGACGATCACTAATACTAAAAATTATGTTACTTAATTTTTTTTTCCGTTTAGAATAATTAGAAAACTATAGCAGCGAATTTTGGCCAAATTTCAGTTTCCTCCTCCACATTTTATCACGAAATTATTGAGGTTAAGATAAACTTTTAAGGCAAACATTTACTTTAATGTGGAATGACTGATGACATAAGTTTATACATTTGTAAAATTATTACTTCCTGTCTACGTAATAATTGACGTCTTTTCGCACCGATGGCAGAGCACTTTCTGAAGAATTATTTAAGAGCAAATGAAGGAAGATAGGAAAAGAATATGGCGAGGGTATGAAGCACTAATGATCAATTACCAACATTGGTAAACATCAGATGGAAACAGTGGCCAATTTGACAGTGTAATACGCATGCGTAAAAAATGTTCATAAAACAAAAAAATCGAAGAGAAAAGTTTTGACATGAAATGTGAGATTGGTTCGTCTAATTAGGAAAAAAGAAAGGGAATAGGCCAAATGAAAGATAAGGAAAAGGAAAGGGAGGTAATTCAAAAAAAGAGGAAAAAATTGAACAAGAGAAAGGCAGAAATGAACAAGGAAATTTAATTTGTAAAAGAAAGAAATAATAAAAATGAATGTAAACAGATTTTTAAGGAAAAGAAAGTTGATCTATTGTCTTTGAAAGGAAAAAGAAGAAAGTAAAAACAAAATGGAGAGAATAACGAAAAGGAAGAAAGGAATCAAAAAGGAAAGGACAAGAGAAATACAAGAAATACAATATATATATAGATATATATATATATATATATATATATATATATATATATATATATATATATATAGGAGGAATAGAAAAAGGATAGAGATAAGAGAAAAGAGAGAGATAAGAGAAAATACTGACAGTGATAGAAGAAAAAGAGAAATGAAAAGAGAAAAAATAGCGAGACATAAGAAAAGAGAGTTTAAAGAAGACAAAGAGAGAGAGAGAGGGGGAGTGAGAGAGAAATAAGAAACAGAAAGAAGAGAATATGAAATAGAGGGACAGAAAGAAAATTCAGTGAGGAAGATAAGACGAAAAAGAGCGAGATATATCACAGAGAAAAGAGAGATCAAAGAGAGAGATAAAAGAGAAAAGAAAGACAGGAAAGAGAGAAAAGAGAGAGAGAGAGAAAAGAGAGAGAGAGAAAAGAGATAAAAAGGGAGAGAGATGAATCAGAGAAGAGAGAAAGAGAAAGTCAGAGAGAAGGAGAGAGACAGAAATGAGAAGAAAGAAATAAGACAAGAAAGAAATAAGATGAGGAAAGGAATAAAGAGACACAATGAAAAGGAAGAGAGGTGAATGGCAGGTAAATGGGGAAAGGAATGAAAAGAATTGTGAGGTAAATAGGGACTGGAATAAAATGAACTGTGAGGTGAATGGTGAAAGAATTAAAAAGAATTATGAGGAAGTGGGGAAGGGATATAAAGAATTGTGAGATGAATGGGGAAAGGGATATAAAGAATTGTGAGGTGAACGGGGAAAGGGATATAAAGAATTGTGAGGTGAACGGGGAAAGGGATATAAAGAATTGTGAGGTGAACGGGGAAAGGGATAAAAATAATTGTGAGGTGAACGGGCAATGGATAAAAAGAATTGTGAGATGAATGGGAAAGGGATAACAATAATTGTGAGATGAATGGGGAAAGGGATAACAATAATTGTGAGGTGAATGGGGAAAGGGATAAAAAGAATTGTGAGGTGAATGGGGAAAGGGATAAAAAGAATTGTGAGGCGAATGGGAAAGGGATAAAAATAATTGTGAGGCGAATGGGAAAGGGATAAAAATAATTGTGAGGCGAATGGGAAAGGGATAAAAATAATTGTGAGGTGAATGGGAAAGGGATAACAATAATTGTGAGGCGAGTGGGGAAAGGAATACGAAGAATTGTGAGGTGAATGGGGAAAGGGATAAAAAGAATTGTGAGGTGAATGGGAAAAGGGATAAAAATAATTGTGAGGTGAATGGGAAAGGGATAAAAATAATTGTGAGGCGAGTGGGGAAAGGAATAAAAAGAATTGTGAGATGAATATGGACAGAAATAAGCAAATTGTGAGGCGAATGGGGAAAGGAATAAAAATATTGTCAGATGAATAAGGAATGGGATTAAAATAATCGTGGGTTGAATGGAGAAATGAATAAAAAGAATTTTAAGGTGAATAGGGAAAGGAATAAAAATAATTGTGCAGTGAGTGGAGAAAGGAATAGAAATAATTTGAGGCGTATGGGGATAGGGATAAAAAGTATTATGAGGTGAATGGGGAAAGGAATAAAACAAGTGTGTGATGAATGGAGAAAATGATAGAAATATGGTGAGGTGAATGAGGAAAGGAATAAAAAGAAATGTGAGGCGAATGGGATAAAAAGAATGTTGACGTGAATCGGGTAGGTATGAATAGATTCTTTAGATGAATAAGGAAAGGGATAAAAAGAATTGTGAGATGAATGGGGAATGGGAGAAAAAGTATTGTGAGATGAATGGGGAATGGGAGAAAAAGTATTGTGAGATGAATGGGGAATGGGAGAAAAAGTATTGTGAGATGAATGGGGAAAGGGATAAAGAAATTTATGAGGTCAATGTGGAAACGAATACACAGAATTGTCAGCTGAGTAAGGAAAGGGATTAAAAGAATTGTGAGCTGAATGGGGAAAGGGATAAAAAAAATTATGAGGTGAATGTGGAAAGGAACAAAGAGCATAGTCAGATGAATAAGGAAAGGAATAAAAATAATTGTGAGGTGAATGGGGAATGGAGTGAAAACAATTGTGAAGCGATGGAGAAAGGGATAAAGAGAATTATGAGGTGAATGGGGAGAGGAATAAATAGTATTTTCATATGATAAATGAAAGGGAGAAAAAATAATTGTCAGGTCAATGGGGAAAGAAATAAAAAGAAATGTGAGGCGAATGTGTTAAGGGACAGAAAGAATTATGAGGGGAATTGGGAAAGGAATAAATAGAATTGTGAGATGAATGGGGAAAGGAATAAAAAGAAAGGAGAGGCGAATAGGGACAGGAATAAAAGGAATTTAGAGTCGAATGGGGAAAGGGATAAAAAGAATTATTATGTGAATGGCGAAAGGAATAAAATTAATTGTGAGATGAATGGAAAAAGTGAAGAAAATATTGTGAGTTGAATAGAGAAAGAAATAAAAAGAAATGTGAGGCGAATGGGGAAAGGGATAGAAATATTTTTCAGATGAATGAAGAAAGGGATAAAAATAATTGTGAGATGTATGTGTTAAGGGACAGAAAGTATTATGAGGTGAATAGGGAAAGGCATAAAAAGAATTGTTTGGTGAATAGGGATAGGAATAAAAATAATTGTGAGGTGAGTGGGGAAAGAAATAAAAAGAGATGTGAGGCGAATGAGGAAAGGGATATAAATAATTATGAGTTGAATGGCGAAAGGAATAAAAAGAATTATGAGGTGAATAGGGACTGGAATAAAGGGAATTGAGAGTCGAATGGGGAAAGGGATAAAACGAATTATGAGGCGAATGGGGAAAGGGATAAAACGAATTATGAGGCGAATGGGGAAAGGGATAAAACGAATTATGAGGCGAATGGGGAAACAAATACACAGTTTTGTCAGCTGAGTAAGGAAATGGATTAAAAAATTGTGAGGTGAATGGGGAAAGGGATAAAAATCAATGTTGATGTGAATGGATAAATGATTGAAAAGAAATAACATGTGTATGCAGAAAGGAATAAACAGAATTGATGGATGAATAGGAGAAAATTAAAAAAAATTATGAGTAAATAGGGAAAGGAAAAAAATACGGATGCATGAGAAAAGAATAAGTAGAAATTACAGACGAATGAATTGAAAAATGACAGGTGAATAGTTAAAGGGACAAAAATTATTAATGGGCGAATGGGGAAAATTAAAAAATGACATGTGAATGGGGAAAGGTTTGAAAAGAAATGATAGGTCAATGGGGAAAGGAATAAAAGGAAATGACAGGTTAATTGATAAAGGAATAAAAAAATATGTGAATATGGAAAGGATTTAAAAGAATTACAGGTGAATTGCGAAATTATTGAAAAGAAATGACAGGTGAATGGGGAAACGAATTTAATTTAATGTACAGGTGAGTGGGGAACTAAATGATAAGGAATGACAAGAGAATGGTGAAAGAAATGAAATGATAGGTGAATGCCGAAAAGTATTAACAGAAATGGCAGATGGGTGGAGAACGAATAAACATGAAATGACGGGTGAATAAGAAAGGAACAAAAAGAATTAGCAGCTGAATGGTGAAGAAAATAAAAGAAATGAAAATTGTGTGCGGAAAGGAATTATAAGAAATGACTGGTGAATGGGGAAAGGAATAAAATGAAATGAGGTGTGAATGGGGAACGGAATAAAAAGAAATGACAGGAGAATAGGGAAAGTATTAAAAGAAATGACAGGTGAATGGGGATAGGAATTGAAAGAAACGACGTGTGAATGGGGAAAGAAATTAAAACGAATGACAGGGAATGGGATAAAGAAAGGCAATGGCACGTAAATTGGGTAAGAAATAAAAACAAATGACGGGTGAGTGTGGAAAGGAATAAAAAGGAATGACTGTTTAATGGGGAAGGAATAAAAACAATGACAGGTGAATGGGGAAATGAATAAAAGGCGATGACACTTAAATTGGGAAAGGAATAAAAAGAAATGACAGATATATGGGGAAAGAAATGAAACGAGATGGCAGGTAAATTCTGAAAGGAATAAAAGGAAATAACAGGTGAATGGTGAAAGAAATGAAATGACAGGTGAGTGTGAAATGGAATGGAAAATATGACAGGTGAACGGCGAAAGAATTTAAAAGAAATGATGGGTGATTGAGGAAAGGAATAAAAAGAAATGACTGGTGAATCGGAAAAGGAAAAAGGAAAAAAAAATAACAGGTGAATCGAAAATAAAAAAAGAAATGACGGTGAATCGGAAAAGGAATAAAAAGAAATGACGGGTGAATCGGAAAAGGAATAAAAGGAAATGACGGGTGAATCGGAAAAGGAATAAAAAGAAATGACTGGTGAATCGGAAAATAAAAGGAATAAAAAAAAATGACAAAGTGAATCGGAAAAGGAATAAAAAATGACTGGTGAATCGGAAAAGGATCGGAAATGACTGGTGAATCGGAAAAGGAATAAAAGGAAATGACGGGTGAATCGGAAAAGGAATAAAAGGAAATGACTGGTGAATCGGAAAAGGAATAAAAGGAAATGACTGGTGAATCGGAAAAGGAATAAAAGGAAATGACGGGTGAATCGGAAAAGGAATAAAAAGAAATGACGGGTGAATCGGAAAAGGAATAAAATCGGAAAAGAATAAAAAATGAAATCGGAAAAGGAATAAAAGGAAATGACGGGTGAATCGGAAAAGGAATAAAAAGAAATGACTGGTGAATCGGAAAAGGAATAAAAGGAAATGACGGGTGAATCGGAAAAGGAATAAAAAGAAATGACTGGTGAATCGGAAAAGGAATAAAAGGAAATGACGGGTGAATCGGAAAAGGAATAAAAAAAGAAAAAAATGACTGGTGAATCGGAAAAGGAATAAAATGAAATGACGGGACAGTGAATCGGAAAAGGAATAAAAGGAAATGACGGGTGAATCGGAAAAGGAATAAAATGAAATGACGGGTGAATCGGAAAAGGAATAAAATGAAATGACGGGTGAATGGTGAAAGGTACAAAAAGAAATGACAGTTGAGTGAGGATCGGAAGCAAAAAGAATGACAGATGAGCGAGTAAAAGAATAAATAGAAGTAACGACATTAAGGAGGAGGTACCTGATAAATTTGTAACCGAAAGAGAGATCTCTTTTTGTGTGATATAGTTATGTATCTAAATTTTATAAAATCTAGAAATTTGAAGACAGATTTTCAAAGCAAATATGTCATTCCATATGAATTCTTTTTTTTTTACCCTTTTAGTCTTTTTACGGCCTATGTCTTCGTTATGATTAATGTCTCAAGAAATATAAGTCCTACTATAGAGGAACTTACTTGAAATGGCAAAAGGAGAAAAAAAGAGAATTAAAATGTATAGAAGAAAATTATATAAAATCGAAGAATTCAGAAGAGAGTTTATCAAATAGAAAATGATGCAACTGAGAAGACAAGAGAGAGAAAAACTATTTTTTATATATACATAACCGTAAAACAAGTCTTATATAAGTAGTTATTTAAATATCTATTTTCCGAAGTTGATTCCGCGTCTTCAATGTTTACTTCAAACTCTTTTATTGCAAAATTAATTGTTGGTGTCTGGGAAGGAAAATCATAATCATTTAATTGTGTAATCTCTGCAAGCATTCTGTTCTCGGTAGAACTGATCAATCCCGGTTGAAAATTAACTTAGTGAACATCCAATTCAACTGAACCTAAAGCAAAATGGAACTACAAAAAGGCATGTTTAAAAATATGGAGTTAAAGGAACAATCATCGTGAAAGTTATAACATTGCGGCTTTTGGTGGTTTGGTTTGTCTGTTTACTCGACACTTGATGTATAGGTCATTGAAGGTGGTTTGGAGTTTCTAGGTTTGCTTACACCGGGTAGACTAAAAACCTATCAAATAAAAATGTCTGGGAGAAAATATAGAAATCCATATACATATCAAAACAATGTTTGTAACAGAATGATAAAATAGAAAAAAAATATGTAACGCTTTTCCTTCTGAAAAGGGATTTCAGACTAAATGTTCTTATTGATGGAATTATATATATTTAGGGAGAGATGGAGAATATAAAAGAAAAATTCGGTTATAAGTATGTACCATGAGAAGACGTTGGAGCTGAAGGGACGTTAAACTTGAAAATTTCTTTTGGCGTCCGACGTGTCAAGACGCACAGTGCATCTGATTTCACTTAGGTTCTCTAAAGCTTTTGCTTTCGTCGCGGTTTTTGAATATCACACTGCGAAAATAGATTTGCTAAGAAAAGTAAAATATTTTATGAACTTGGACGCAAATTCATCGCGGAAAATGTAGAAATCAATGCATTTTCTATACATTTTCGCGTGATTATATTACTTTCTCTTAATTAATTCAACATTTTCTATGCCTGGATTATGGTCAGGTTTATTACGATGAATGACTATTGCATTGAGTTTCTTTCGTAAATAATGTTTATGTACATATACTTTTTTCTGTAAATTTCACAACACTATTTTTGTGGCATTTATTAAAATCTATAAACGTTAATTCCAAATTTAAGTCTTATTTTGTTTTGCATTAAATCTTCTTTGTTAAAAATTGCAACAAATTTTATGTTTCAATAAATTCTTTTCAATTGAAGTTGTGAGTTCGTAGTTAGCATAAGGTGCCTGGTATTATTAAGTTTGATTATATCTTTCATTCATTTTTATAACTTTCGGTTTCGCATTCAATGTAATAATTAAGAAAAGCCTAAAACTATTTTCAATGCATTTCTCATGTAAATATTGAGGTTACAAATTCAGTGTTCTTAAATAAAAAGGTGGTTTTTAATTGATAAAAAAATGGCAAATAAAATATATAAGGAATTATTTTACAAGAAAGGCCTTTTTTTCATGAGTGAAACTGTGGTTTATTATAATGTTTAGAGACATATTACAGAAAGAAATTACGGCTTAATGAACAGCTACACATTGCTAACTGAAATTTTGGACAGGTTTCTAATTTTGTTGAAAAGTTTAAATTCTGTTAGGAAATTAAACATTTTGAAAGGAAACTATTTTTTTTCAGATTCGAGATGTTTTTATAGTCTACAGATACATTTATTTTTCAATTTTTCATTACCTCATAATATTTTACATTTCTATTTTTTTTTATCCAGTTCAGACTTCGTTATTGAGGGACTGTTTTAACGCCATTATTCTTGTTTGTTTTTTTTCTCTTCGTCCGTTTTAAGCATTCCGGATGTGAATTTACTTTTCTATCTCCTCGAATACATTTATTTCAGTTTCTTTTCCTTTTCTATGTCCTTGATTGATACTTATTCTTGCCTATCTTTCTTTCTTCTATTCATTGTCACTTTCTTATTGTCATCTTGCTATGAACCATATTCCAAATATTTCTTGTTTTCCCTCCCTTTGCTTGCACGAATTCAGTAATGAAAAATACCGTTTGCAAATTAGAGTGTACACTTGCTTGATCTTGAAAGGAAGCCACAACAGCATATTCAGTACAAATAAGTGCATGTAACAATAAGTAACATTTTGGCAGAAGTACAACGAGGCTATAAGAACCAAAGAACAAAGAATGTCAAACAATGTAACTTCGGCGGGTAAACGAAAGTATTTGATAAAAAAACATACGAAAGAAAGAATATGTGAAGATCAATGAAGAAGATAGCAAATTGATCGCAAATAAAGCAATGGACTTTTTTTTTTTATTTCTGATGAAGGCATCTAAATGGGTGCAGAAACGTCGCTTAATTGTCTCGGTTCGTTTTCGTCCTCCCTCTGATGGTTCATTTTCTTTGTCATTTTCAGCTGAGCGCAGTGGAGAAAAAAGTGGAGACTAATTTCACATGATGATTTGGCGATTGCATATTTTAATAAGTAACACCGAGATGACTAACTTAACGACCATCTTCAAGACTTCAATAAAAAAAAGCGTTTCACTTAAGCTAGAAGAATGTACATATTTTATCTGTAATAGATATTTTGCCTTTTCTTTTATTAACGAATCTATGTTGACGATCATCACTACTCTAATATTTATGACGAATTGAACTAGATTGAATAAACGTAGTTCAGGCATTAGAGTATCTTTACAGGCCATTCGGCAGGAATGACAGTCGGGTAGAGTTGGGAGTAGAGAAAGTGTCGGTAATTAAAGGAAGAATGTTTAAGAGACAGAACGATGGAAGTCTCAAAAGAGAATGTAAGAAGAAATACCTGAAAAAGACACCTTATTGAAAAAAAAAACATAAGAGAAATAAGAGGAAAAGAAAACGAGAAAAGAAAACGAGAAAAGAACGAAAATAAATATTGCTCTTTAGATTTCTAAGAGATTATAGTAACGTAATCTATAATTAGCTACATAGTAGCATCGACATCTTTGTTGTTTTTAATTACAACTTGACAAAAATGACATTATCCCAAACAGTGTGTGAAGCAATCATGATTAGAGTTTATAATTTTTAAAAACATGGAAGTTTTTCTTCAGACCGTTGAATTCGAATGTCTTTTTAATGTGAACGCAGATGTCACAGTAATAAATAAGATAAGGAGACTGAAAATAGTCAATATTTTAACGAAGATTTTTCTGCCATCATTAGTAAAGAAATGAGATTTTTTATACTTATGTACAGGACAATTACCGAAAACTGAAGATAATGTTTTAGTAATTTCAAAGAAAGTTCAAAGAACGGGTAAAAGGAGTTCAATTGTCCGAACAGAAATTTATGAGTAATGCAATGCTAGATTGAAATCAGAGTTTTAATCCGTTTGAATATTTCATTATATTTGTGTATCTATGTAATTCTACTGGTTTACATATTTTCCCTCCCACTCACGAGATATATAGAGTGAGAAATAAAGAGAAAAAAAGAACAGACAGAAAAGAAAGACAGAGAGAGATACATTACGTATACAGAGTGAAAGAGAGTCACATATAGAGAAAGAGAGAAGGGGGGGCACACACACAGAAAGAGAAAGACACACACACACACAGAGAAAGAGACGGAGAGAGACGAACACACTCAGAGAGAGAGAGAGAGAGAGAGACACACGCAGGAAAATAGAGAGAAAGAGACAACGTAAGCGTGAAACAAAACACCGACAGAGTGAGATATACACACACCGACACAGAGAGGGAAAGACACACACGCCGACAGAGAGAGAAAGAGAGAGAGAGAGAAACAAACAGAGAAGAGAGAGAGAGAGAGAGAGGATGAGAAGCAAAGACAAACAGAGAGAGAGAGAGAGAAGGAGAGAGAGAAAGACCGACAGAGAGAGAGAGAGAGAGAGAGAACAGAGAGAGAGAGACAGACAGAACAGAGAGAGAGAGAGAGAGGATACGGATGCAGACCTGGCGAACAGAGAGAGAGAGATTTAAAAAATCCCAGAGAGAAAACTAGATTCCAACAGAGAGAGAGAGAGAGAAGAGATTAGAGATGTTTACGATAACAGAGAGAGCTGATAGAGATTATTCGAGAAGAACGACCGAACAGAGATCAGAGTAGATAGAGATTTATTTAGAGAGATAAAGAGAAGCAAAAGACCTTTTAGAGAGAGAGAGAAAATTCTATATAAATTCAAATATCAACTAAGAGAGAGAGAGAACAGAGAAATAGAGAAAATATCAAGAGAGACAAAATCCTTCATATTTTCCGAAAAGAGAGAGAGAAAGGAAAATATAGAGAAGAGAGAGAGAAAATACTGCTGATACAATGAGAGAATTAAAAGAAAAAGACTGAAAAAAAGAGAGAGAGAGAAAAAGAAAATAGGGAACATCTAGAGAGAAAGTATCTCGAATGAAAAGACATCAGAGAGAAATTTAAAAGCTGAATGTTTATGTATCTTTAATATTTTCAATGTAAAGCTGGAGTTTGTTTTATTTCACACCACACCACCACTGAGAAAAAAACATTTTTATTAGTTTGATGATATTCTTTCTCAGGACGAAATGTCGTTAAAGAGTTTGTCCTTTTTCATTGTTATTCGTTTATTCAATTTCAGATATATAAAGCTTATAATTTTCTTACGGCGAATGGTAAACTGAAAAATGCAAAGAGATATTGTGAGCAATGTTGGAAAGAGCAAAAAGTTGAACAATGATCGCAAAACAATCAAACATTAACATTGCAAAATAGTCCCAAAATAAGAAAAGTACTGGTTTTAAGATCATAAAAAATGATTGCCATATTTTAAAATGGTAACAGCCAAGATTAACAAAGTAAAAAATGATTTCAGCTAGTGTTGCAAATGTAAGCGAAAAAGATGCACAATATTAATAATAATATTAATATAGTTTTTTTTTTTCTGTTCAACAAGAAAAAAAGAATCTGTCATATTTAAGCAAATTTCAAATTGGTCAGTTATACGAAGAAGAAGGTGAAAACTGATTTCTCAACAGTAAGTTTTACTGATGAATGTAGTACATTGGATGGACATCTCGGTTGGTTCAGATATAAGATCTTCCATAGAAAGTGAACCAACACAGAGATTAAGTTACAAAAAAGAACATTTTAAATGTAAATATACACAAATACATTAAAAAGGTCGAGTAAAATAAGCAAAAAAAAAAAAAGAGAATCACTATAAAAAGACCGAAATAGAAAATAGAACAAAAAAAAAAACTGATAAGTTATTTGAGAGATTATTGCTATTCAGTATTCGATCAAAACTAATATACACACGGCAACTGAAAAAAAAGAGAAATTGATAGAGAATCAAAAGTTTTAACAAAGAGATTATATTTAGAGAAATAAAAGACCCTACAGTACAGAGAGAAGATTGATTAGACTTAATATATAGAAACTAGAGAGAAATATCAATCAGAATGTTCGCTGCTGATGAAAAGAGAGAGAAAACGATTAAAGCAAAAGTCAGATTATTTATTAAGAATTTCGCAATTGCAAAACTGAAATTATCAACAAAATCGTATAAAAAAAGATACTGTCCTACAGTATCTTAAAAGCTCGTAAAAAAATGATCAATCTTCAAAAGAAACGAAAGAATTAGTTCTACCAAACAAGAGAACAACAGGCATTCAAAATCATAAATCAAAACGAAAATTGTGTTGAGGGGAAAGATATCAACTTAAAATAACTTCAACATAGAGAAATATAGACAGAATAGAAAAGAAAAAAAAAGAAAGAATTCAAGACATGAGAGAGAATTTAGAAAAACTTGAGAGAGAACCTTATCAAAAAAAAATATTGATGAAAGAAAGAGAGAGTTTTCGACTCTAGTTTGAATATATTAAATATATAATATTGTATAAATATATATATATATATATATATATAATCTATATATAATGGTAAAACCTTTCTAAAAAATTCAATTTAAATTTAATTTGATTTTAGAACATAAAAATTCTTGATCTTAGAATCAGTCTTGATCAAATTCAAGGTTTTCTTGTTTAGCAAGACAAAAGAATCCAACCAAGGGGATAATCCAAAAGAATATCTTCAAGACAAAAATAAAAAAAAAAAAACTGCATTGTTCTCCTTTTCACAGTTCATTTAATCATCCGTGAAAAATCAAAAGAACCCTCCTTACAAAAATACAATAGTCATCATTTATCGAGTATTGAATTTTATCTAAGAGCTAGGTTCAAATTCATAAATCAACAAAAATTGGCTATCGAAGCTGACAAAGGATTCAGAGGTATTTTTTCCGTATATCATATACAGACCGGTATATTTGTCCGTATATAATATTTTAATAACTAAATTCTAGGCATATTCCATAAACTCCGAAATTGATGGGAAAAAAAAAGGTTCTGGGTATTTTTTATTAGATTTAACTGGATTAAATGCTATTTAATCACAATAAAGATTTTTAAAATTGTTTCAAATGTATCTTTAATAAATATTTCAAAATTAGAATTATCCAAATCAAAGTAGAAAATTTGCCCTCCCTTTCTCAAAAATAAACATTCATATTCACACAATAAATTTTTAACAAAAACTGTTCTAAATTCTACCTCAATTCCTTCCTTCTCAATTTCTAACTTCTGCCCACTTCTCATCTGAGCATAACTGTCTTTGAGACAAATCATTTTTTAAAATGTTATGAAAGGGCTTTTCCTTATTTCCTCATTAAAATCAATTCTAATACTCCTTTTCATATCTTTCTAGTAAGAAAAAAGCAGATTGTCGTCTTAGGTTAAAACATAAACTATATACCACCAGGATAGAATTTCATTTTAAACTAAGTCTCACAAAATAGGTTCATTCTAAAACCTTTCTCAATTCGTTTTTTTTTTTCAAATATAATTTTGTCTGATTTTCTCGCCAATGACGTGTTTTTTCAATTTCCCAAGAAAGACATCTGATTTGCATTTTTCGCAAAACTGCTTTACCCTGATAAATAAATTTTCGATAGATAAAAAAATAAACCTTGGTGCCTCGTTCAAATTCGTATCTATCGAAACAAATCTTGATGATTTCTTTTTCAATTCCACATTACCAAAAAATGATTTCCATTCCCTAATATCTTCTATCTTTAGTTTGTATTTCATTTTTTTAACCAAAAAAAATATATTAATATTTAACCACCTCACGGCTTCAATGTCACATGTAAGAACATTTAATTTCAATTTTTAGTGTTATGGAATTACTAGACAAATTCATTCAACAAATACTTTTTAATTAATTAACATTAACAGATCTTTTTTCACGTAAGACAAAATTCAAATGAATGTATAGATTTATTTATCAGAAGCCTTTGCATTAATTGTGTTTATATCTCTTTTATTTTTGAGCTACACGATCCTAAATTCATTTCTGCAATTATTTTTCTTTGATTTGAATATAAATTATTAGAATTACAAAAAGAAAAATCCGAAGAATTGTTTCCAATTTAGTTTTTGTCTGCAAGATACGAGAATCAATATTTTTTTCCACACCAGTCTATGACACGAGGTTTCTTCAATGAAGACATAAAGAAAAAAAAGTTACCGATTCGTGTCTATTCTAAAACAAAAAAACAGGATATTGATAAGGTAAAATTGTGAAATATATCGCAGTGATTGTTAACGAGAGGCTTTTGTAAAATATTTTATTTCAAATTACAGCTGATTGTATGTATTCACGGATTTATATCCGTATGGAATTAAATGCTGGACAACGATATATGTTCTAAACAAAATTGGTAACTAGAATACATGTACTTAAAAATTGAAAAAAGACATTAATTTTCAGGGACAAAATGAGGAAAAAGGCTTTGAGAAATTGACATTCTACAAGGCGCATTGAAGGATAGTTTTTTATTTAACACTGATAGAATATTCATATTCCATATTCCTTATATGCAAATCCAACCGCAAATCATTGGATAATTGAACAAAAAAGTAAAACCAATGAAACAAAAGAAAATATATAAAAAAAAAATATTAACGAAATAAATGTAGCTTAAAAAATACCACTGTTTAATTAGGAAACATTATCTATAGAAATATAATAAAATTTGATAACCAAGAAATACTAGTTGGGTTGACAAAAAAAGAATAGAAACAAAGATTCTACAAACACAAACTGAGCCTGAAGAATTTAATATAAAAAATAGCTTAAAAAATATTACTGACAGGTAAGAGACTCTTAAAGGAGTTTGACTAGATATACTATAGGGAGGTGGTGGCATGAACTTAATGATATAATGGTAAAAAAAAAGATCGTGATTTTTTTTTTTCTTAAAAAAAAAAAAAATATGGTAAAAAATATAAATAACCTGAATTTGATTAAAAGAAGTGAATCAATGATCACTTTTAGGCAAAATGTAAATATCTTTTGATTTCAATTGAACCAGATAGATTTCACAATTATATTATATCTCAGAGTATATATATATATATATATATATATATATATATATATAAATTTTTTTACCATTTTAGTTATTTTTCCGATATGTAAATATTATTGCGCTATGTTTATATTATCGGCTATAAATATTGAGGCATTGGAACGGTCATTGTGCATTGGTACGCAGGTGTGTGAATAAAAATCAAATGCATCGAACAGTAAGGAATATATATATATATATATATATATATATATATATATATATATATATACATACATATACATAAAAACAAAAGAACGAAGAATAAAATTTAAAAATGATTAATTTAAAAAATATAGGGCTCAATACATATATATTACCTAAATATTATTATACATATAATATTTACTACATATAATATATATATATATATCTAATATAACAGTTTATAATATATATATATATATATAATATATATATATATATATATATATATATATATATATATATATATATATATATATATTATGAAAAACTAGGTAATCTGTATATAAATATATATATAAAATATAGAGAGCTAAATATAAATATATATATATAATAATTTAAATAAAAAACAGACCACTTTAAGGTTCCATGTAATAAATTATTTCACCACAGCCCTTTTAAAGGACTGCGGATCATCAGACTTTACTTCCAAACAAAAAAATGAAAAGAAAATTTACACATTTTGACGGGCCGTATTAAACATATATAAATTAACGAAGTAACGGAAGTGAGGGGGAGAGAAAAACATGAGTGAGTTAGCAGATATTGACACATTTAAACGGTTAACTTAACGGAAGTTATATATTGATATCGAAGGGGTAGAGAAGAAAAAACCATAGAGAGAAAAAAGAGGGAAGGAAGTTAAGAGAGAAGAGAAGAGAAGATGTCGCTAATTTTCTTTGTAAAAAAAAAGGCTAGAAACAGACGCTGTTATTTTGCTTTACTTTGAAAGT